CGGTATTCATATTCACGCTCTGGAACAGGAGATCCTAGTTCGACTCAGACTGCCCTTTCCATAATACGTTTCCCATGTACTCGCAGTTCTTTTATAGGAACATCTTTTCTTCCCAAACTCTGTGTGCAACACCGGTTGGCTTTCCTCAGTTTCCTGAATGGTGTTACCTCTCAATAGAAGCATGAGTGGCCATTCAATATACCGGTATAGTAAAACATGTCCATAATTATCGGAGAAAGGATCGGATGTGGCTAAATAATTTGAAACTGTCCACCTCTCCTCACTGCGCTCTTGGCCCACATTTACCACACCATAGCGAGGAAGTTTGTTCTTGGATAGATGCTCTACATCCTCCAGACATCTATCCAAGAACAAACTTCCTCGCTATGGTGTGGTGAATGTGAGCCAAGAGTGCAGTGGTGGACAGTTGCAAATAATTTTACTACAATGTGCTAAGCAGAACAGAGGCACTAGCACCTGGGTGGAAACTATTCTGAATTTTGAATGCCACGGAAGGCTGAAGGATACCCATGAAACCACTGCCAAAGCAAACACAAATTTGAAAAGCAGTGCATGCATGATGGCGGTGGGAAAAAGGAGCCAAGGAAAGTGTGTACATATTTTTGTTGAAAGGATGAGAATTCAAAGAAAGCTGGCTGGTTCCTCTATTTCCATGATCGGCCAGTGCCTGCAGCACGAACAGTACATTGTATTACATGTATGTGCATAAACAGACAAATAAACACTAACCTGAGCATGGGTACCGCTTGTATTCGTGGTCAGGAAAGTGAAAGTACGAACGAAGGAGAAGAAGATTGTTGACCATGGCGAACAACTGCATATCCAGAGGGCACACGGCTTGCCAGAATGGGTCGGCTACATCTTCGCTAATTTTCTATCCTAACAACATTCAGCTTCGAGGTCAAGGACGACGGCATTTTTGGAAAGAAATTTCGAATTTTGGAGAAGAAGCTTGCTTTCGGAAAAATGTTCCTTTCACGCAAGGCAGCATGCCAGGTCAGGCGTGTGAACCAGGTGAACTGTGTCGGCAGATCCACGTTTACGTTCCAGGCCGACAGTTTTTTGACCAAGCCGTGAATCGCCCTCGCTCTGACTCCCCCGGCTACGAAGGAGTAATTTTACAACTCTTCAGGCCAGCTACAGGTCTCTGATGCAGAGCTGCAAATGACGGATATCGGTCATTTGCAGCCACTACTAAGAGCCTCCTGGTCGTTGCAATCTGATACATAATATACCTCCCAAAACGATCCTGCCGCAAATTCTTTCGGCAAAATATCGAAGAATTGAAAGAGCGGAAATTGCCGGCAAAATTGGAGCAAAATATCGAGATGTTGGGTAAAATCGATGCCTGATACTTGGATTTCCTTGTTTCTTACCCGTTCAGCAGGATACACTGCCCAGGATGAGATAATGTCACCGAACTATCACTGGGATTCACTGTGGATCGACGAGATTTTGGAAGAACTCAGGGACACGTGCGTGGAAACCCGTGCTGAGAAACCGACCCTGCAGCCTGCGATTTAATTAAACTGTGTACGGGATTGTGCGGGAAGTGGATAAAATACACGTTTTTTAGGACCAAAATGGAGCAAAATATCGAGGTTCTTGTGCCAGGCTCGGCAAAATATCGAAGATTTCGCGGGAACATTTTGCGCCAAAATATCGAGGCAAGCGGAGCAGAATCTGTCTGGGCCTAGCGCCTAGTCTTCACACAAGGCATGGGGCCTTCCTTATTTGGTATACCTTGTTATTTCCTTAGCTGGCTCCCGCTCTTTGTGATACAGTTTATACACGTTATTGCTAAGTTTTGGTACACTGCGGCATGCGGGTGTACTATGGTTCATTATTTGTGATACGGTTTATACACATTAGAGACCTTTTGCATTCCGAATTTCGGAATATTTTTCGGAACCTGACTTTGACAGTCGAAAATGTAGGCGAACTTTCGGAAGTTTGGTGGCGAAAGTTCATTATTCACGAAAGTACTTTTTCGGCTTTTTGATGTTCTTTCCCGCGCTCGGTGCTTGAACATTTTCAATGTCAAACTTGAATTTGGAAGGCCTGCGTGCAGTTTGTTTTTCTACTCCAGGCATGTCGACTCCGTCTTCTTCCCCATCTCCACCCTCCTTGGAGCGCAGCGGGAGCATTGACCTTGCATCGTCTGCTTCACCTCCCCCTCCGCCGGCAGCAACAGCTGTAGGATTTGTGCCCTCCCCATCTTCTGCTGGCCGTTCACAAGTCCGGTTTGACTTGCACATGGATTTGACTATGTGCAGGCAGCTTCTGTTTGTCATCAACCCCTTCGTTTGTGGCTCAACAGGATTTGAGGAAACTGCCACAGTTCTTGCCTCGTCTGACCCTAAATTTCGTAGCGTAACGAAAAAATCCATCAGGGATCGAACCCTGCTACTGCTCGACCAACACTTCCGCCACTTTATCTCTGCATAACAACCCATGGACACGGAACGATAGAAGTCGAAAACAACTTTCGGAATGCAAAACAATGAAAATGCCGTTTTTCGCAACGCACTTTGTTCCGAAAAGAACAGTCGAAAAACATTTCGAAATTCGGAATGCAAAAGGTCTCTATTATTGGTACACTGCGGCATGCGGGTGTACCATGGTTCATTATTTATCACATAGTTCGTACGGGCGATCAGCCTCCTCTGCCCGTAGTTAAAGTAGATGATTATGGCAATATCGCCTTTCTGTCTCTCTCTGCCTCTCTGTCTCTCTGTCCAGGGCCTGCTGGAGAGCCGGGTCAGCCGGGTCACGCGCCCGGCTGGGGAACTGCACGACCTGGCTGAACAGATAACACCGGGTCCAGTCTGACCTGGCTGAAAAATGTCTCAAACTGACAATGGATTCCTAAAATACCGGTATTTTACGACTCGCGGACCCCATCTGTTGCAAATCTAGCACAATCGTAGATCTACACACTACATGTACTCTACAAGCGACAGAAACTCTGCTAGGGTCAACTGGTTCTAGCGCGATCTGGCCAACGGTGAGCAGGAAGTCAGGACATTCAAAGTCGATGGGGGCAGGCAGTCAAAAGCGGCGCGAAGAGAAAAAGAACTCACGCTTTGTCGTTTACCTTCTACGTTTGCGGGCAGGGACCAGGGGCGTACGCCGCTCGCCTCCAGGAGTGGTTCCCATGCCAACTGATGAACCAACATTCCACACAATTGTATCCCACGGAGTTTCTGCTTATTCTCCTCAGACTGGGTGAAATTTTCATCCACAAGCTGCTAGACGATGTCATTGCTATGCATTTTTGATTTTAAAAGACTGAACTTTTTCCCGTTTTATGGATGTTTTGTTCAGCATGACGATTGCATGCAGTCTTGAAAGCTGCCTAAGTTTCGAATCATCTGGAGCAAACATCACACAGGGCAAGCAGAGGCCACCATTGCACGCCGGTCAAAAGACTACTACTGACTACCCAAGGTAGCTCCTGTAACAAGGATAGTTGAAAGTGGCGCTGTTTGCCATCCATCTGGACACGCACAGGAAATGAAATTCTTCGCCTTCGGTGGCGCACAATGATTGTCGGTGACGCCGGAAATCTTTTCCGTGTCCGGCAAATGTCGGGGGACTGGATTCCACTGTGGACGTCGACTTTCAGAATATTCCTTCGAACACATATCCCTTCCAACACACTCCCATGTCACTGAAGTAACAACGGTCGCTCTACAGCTTCGCCGACGATTTCTTCCTCAGCGCTGCTCGATGCATGCAGCCTTCGCTTGCAAGTCAGGTGCGTCTCCATTCTCATCTATCTCTTGACCTTCGCCACTAGCACTGGCTACACGCTTTGCCTGCTGCTCAAAATAGCTCTGAATAGAGCGCTGGCCCTCTGGATGTGGATGCTTCATTTTTCTTTTCCACAAAGCGAAAGCATCGTCCAAAACAAGACGAACTTCGTCAAAACAAACTGCAAAGGAATTAATTATTTGACTCTTGAGATCGAGGAATCCGGCGATGTAGAGACTTTGTTGAACCCAGTCCAGTACACTGTGTCCCAGCACCGCTTTCACACCTGGACTAGTCACAGTACTCGGACCGTCAGCATGGTCAGGCGCGGACTCCAGGCGCTAGGCATGCACTTGCACTGCGAGCGCTGGGCGCATGGGCCTGAAAAGGCTGGATCCAAAAAAATTCTGTACCAATATCGAATTTTTTTTACTGGTTCCCGGGCATCCCGGGAACCGCCCTATGTACGCCCCTGGGGACTTTGATAGTTCGCCTTGTTCTCTAAAATTTCCGATTTCCGGTAATAAATTCGCCTTTCTGTTTTCCTGCGTTTTGAGCAGGCTTTTTGGTTGTTTTTCTGCCGGATGACCTGACCCGGCTTGACCCGGCTGGCCTGCATGCGCCAGGTACACTCTGACCGGGCTGTGTTGAATGTCTAGAGCAGGCCCTGCTGTCCCTCTGTCTCTCTGTCTCTCTCTCTGTCTCTCTGTCTCTCTCTCTCTCTTTCTCCCTCTATCTCTCTCTCTGTCTCTCTCTCTTTCTCTGCCTCTCTCTCTCTCTCTCTTTCTCTCTCTCTTTTTCTCTCTCTCTCTCTCTGTCTCTCTCTCTCCCTCTCTCTCTCTCTCTCTCTCTCTCTCTCTCTCTCTCTCTCTCTCTCTCTCTCTCTCTCTCTCTCTCTCTCTCTCTCTCTCTCTCTCTCTCTCTCTCTCTCTCTCTCCTCTCTCTCTCTCTCTCTCTCTCTCTCTCTCTCTCTCTCTCTCTCTCACTCTCTCTCTCACTCTCTCTCTCTCTCACTCTCTCTCTCTCTCACTCTCTCTCTCTCTCTCTCTCTCTCTCTCTCTCTCTCTCTCTCTCTCTCTCTCTCTCTCTCTCTCTCTCTCTCTCTCTCTCTCTCTCTCTCTCTCTCTCTCTCTCTCTCTCTCTCCCTCTCTCTCTCTCTCTCTCTCTCTCTCTCTCTCTCTCTCTCTCTCTCTCTCTCTCTCTCTCTCTCTCTCTCGGAAAAAGTGCCAGTCCATCAAATGGCACATTCTTCGATCGAGTGGGGACGCGCGCATGAGGGCGCTGTACACTCTGCGTCGGAGTAAGGATGCGAAGCTGACAAAGCGATATGCGGCGACAATAGAGCTGGAGTGTGCAGAGGCATCAGTAGGTTCAGGGACTCTCCGTCCACCGTCATCTTCAAGTCATCGTGCAGGGTTGGGTGCTCGTGCTCCGAAGCAGCATTCCAAACCCCCGAGGAAGGATCTCCTTCAAACATTTGAGGAGATCAACGCGCAGGAGCAGATTTTGAGGCTGAAGACTCTTCAGGTGCAAGGCAAGTGGTTGGAGTGGACATCGGTGATGTGGCAGGACCTCTCGTGGAAATCCCTTTTGTACGGTGGTACTGGTAAGGATTTGAAATTTCTTCTCGCATCAACCCTCGACGTGCTACCTTCTCCGACGAACCTACGCCGTTGGGGAAACACCGTAGTGGATCCGTACTGTAGTTTGTGCCGTACCTGGGCCTGTACTACGCGCCACGTGCTTGGCGCTTGTCGCGTAGCGCTGGACCAGGGACGTTACACCTGGAGGCACGACAACGTACTCGGGGTCATCGTCAGGAACATGCGTGAGGAGATTCGAATCCGCACTGCTGCAAACACCGTACAAACCGAAAATTCAAATGAGCTTGACTTCATCTCGTTTTGCAAGGCGGGAGAGAAGCCAGTTCGCGTTCAGCCCAGACGAAAGTTGGTTACGACTGATCTCCTGTCAGCGGCCTCAGACTGGAAACTTCTTGTCGACTCAGTTAGTGCAAAGATTTCTTTCCCTAGCTGTGTTGCACTTACCACCCTAAGACCAGATATAGTTCTGTACTCTACGAGTCGTAGGATTGTATTCTGGATGGAGTTGACAGTTTGTGCTGAGGACAGATTCAGTGTCAGTAACTCGCGGAAGGACAGGCGGTATGCGGATCTGGCCGATCAATGCCGAGCAAACGGGTGGCAGGTCGTTTCTTTTTCGGTTGAGGTAGGTGTGCGTGGTTTCATCCCGGACTCTCTTCGGAGGGCTCTGAAAGCGCTTGGATTTTCTAATCGAAGAATAAAATTTATTTGTAATTTGTGCAGTAAGACGTCTCTGCGAAGCAGCTACATCATCTGGTTGCGGCGTCAACAAAAACACTGGTCGGAAGATCCACTTTTCTGAGGTACTGTATGTGGGGCTCCGTTTATTGAGGTGCGTTGAAATTTATTCTCTTTATCTTATTATTTCTTTTCTATAATTTCCCCATATGAGTTCCTATCAGTTGCTGTGAACACCTTGAGTGGAGAGCGCTTGCTCGAGCGTTGAACCGGGTTCTTAATCCACCATACCCAGTTCGCAAGGCTGGGCGGGGTTGTGAGCAGGCTTTCATTTCATCTTTTCTTATTATTTCTTATTATTTCTGCTTTTCATCTCATTACAAAAATTCTGCGCTTTTTTCTCCATCTGCGCATAAAATCTAGACTGACAACCTGCTTGTTAAATCATGCACCTGCTTTCAGGCGTAAAAACCCTGTTGTAGAGGTCTCAGTCCTCATTTGTTAGACTTACCTGTCTTTATAAATGTAACTTACTCTCTCTCTCTCTCTCTCTCTCTCTCTCTCTCTCTCTCCCTCTCTCTCTCTTACTCTCTCTCACTCTCTCTCTCTCTCTCTCTCTCTCTCTCTCTCTCTCTCTCTTCTCTCTCTCTCTCTCTCTCTCTCTCTCTCTCTCTCTCTCTCTCCCTCTCTCTCTCTTACTCTCTCTCACTCTCTCTCTCTCTCTCTCTCTCTCTCTCCGTCTCTCTCTCTCTCTCTCTCTCTCTCTCTCTCTCTCTCTCTCTCCCTCTCTCTCTCTGTCTCTCTTTCTCTCCCTCTCTTACCTTCCGCCTTCAGGCGGAAGCTTCGGATTTCGTCTGTCTTGCCTTGTGCTCTCAGTATCGTTTCTTGAACTAAGTTAGCAGCTCCTTTGAAGATGTGAATAAACCTGAACGCTGGTGTGAGTGTACGTGTCTGTATAATTATGCCTGAGTGTGTGTGTGTGTGAGAGTATGTCTAGGTATAATATGTGCGTGCGTGCGTAAGAGTAATTCTGTTGGTGGGACTATCTCCAAGTGGCCACCACTACACGGCCTTGTAATGTGAAGGTTATTAGTAAGTTAGTTCATGTCGAACCGAAGCCGTGGATCTAACCACGGGCCGACCTGATACGACATTTGGCGCAGGGAACAGGATCCGACACCTTGCGTGCTGTCAACGAGAGAGACATTGATGATTATGACATTGTGATGGCCCAGTCGTTCGATCGAATGGACGGGCCGAATGCCCGATCCGCGAATGACCGGACTTCTACGATACTTCAAGGATATCAAGAAGAAGGTATGGTTGTTCTTGGGCTGTTTCTCGTGATCGTAAGTTTGACGACAATTCACGTGGCGTCGTATATCCATTATATTGGTTTGTGTCACTTGGTATGGACATTCGCATTCTGAAAACAGATGTGGAGCGCCGCCAAGTCAAGGGTTTGATCATGGCGTCAATGGAGAGTTTGACCTGTATGGCGAAGCTGGCACAGTGGCAGCAGTTTTCCTGCTGTCCTTGTGGTTTGTGTTTTTTTGTGTTTTTGTGTTTGTGACCTTATGGTTCAGCAGCTGCTGTGAAAAAGAGCTGCTGTTACCTCCTGCGCTGTCTCAGCAGCTGCTCATGCTCGTGCAGCTATTGTAGCTGAAGCCATTGCTGTAGGTTTCTACCGCCCCATCGGTGGGAGTGGAATCGACGCCCCTATAGTGCGATCCTCGCTGGTCCCCTGACCTTGCCGGTAAGGAAGAATTGGAAAAATCCACAAGTCTGTGTTTGTTGCAAATTGATGCATTTTGCAGCACTTGCTACCTCTGGGCATGTGGCTGATTGCAGACTGACTATTGTTTGATTATTGCTGAGCCCTCGGCCTTGCGAGTTCTCAGAAGAAACCTATGAATTAGCCTCTGGAATGTAGCTGGTGCTATTACCGCTCTTTAGAGATCGGAAAGCTCTAATTCTGCGATGACCATGCCCGGAATTTACCGGAAGCCTGATTGATTATCTTCCAAGCTCTGGGCGTCGAGACCCCCAACATAATGGTTCAAAACACAATGATCCCGAGGGACCCATTGGAACCTTATGAGCTGGAGGAGTATGCCCCATGCCCTGGGAAATTGTCAGAGAAACCACTCAGGGGATTAAGAGCAGAGCAGAAGAGTACGGTTTTTACCGCTCTTTAGCGACGAAATGGCTCTAGTCTAGTGCCCTTTTCGGCGGATTCTCAGTCTGTCGGAGAACTTACTCCAAGAGTTGTCATTATTAACGAAGAGGACAGCTTCAAGGCTGTGCTCCAAAATACGGGGGGTCGTTTGCATCCGCTTTTGTAGATTTTCCCGGGAACTGGAACCCTGGGGTTGAAGTCAGTATCTGCAAAACTTAGACTGCGGCAGAAAACAATAGCCTAATCTATGTGTTCTGTCTTCTTTGAACATGCGAGTGAGCGTGCGGACATGTTGGTGCCTGGAGCGGTGAATGGATGTCCATTGGACGCTGTGATTGATACAGGATCCGCCGCTACATTGTTGTCAGAGGATTTTGCCGACCGCCTACCCAAGGAGCTGGAAAAGGAAACCTCTGACCAAGGCCCGAAGTTTATTGGTGCCAACAGACAACCACTAGAAGCCGTGGCGTCAGCAATTGTTCAGTTGGAACTCGGGGATGCAACCTGTTGATACCGGGTAAGAATTGTTAACGGGTTGCCACTTGATTGTATTGTTGGCCGGGACGTATTATCCCACATTCCTTGCACCATTTCGTCGGGACAAGGGCGAATGTTCTTTTCTACCTCCCCGCCTCAATCAGTACTGTGGGTTTGGCTTAGGGAGTGTTGAAACTTCAATCTAAAGTGACAATGCCGAGCAAACATGAGATGATCGTTCCGGCCAGATTTAAACGATACGGTCACGCAGAAAATCTATACACGTAGCGTTAGTGGAGCTGATCCCTGGTCTATCAGACTCACATTATATCAATATAGCGAGTTCACTAGAAAAGCAACCAACCGAAAATCACGGAATCATGGCGATTATAAGTCGCACCCCCATTTCCAGGTTTGAGCAATATTGTTTCGATATATTAACTTCAGCAGTAAGTCATGCTCGATTGTAAGTCGCACTCCCTTTTTCGCCCTTGCTTTTTAGTGTAAAAAGGCGTAACCTATAATCGAGGAAATACGGTATGTCTTGGAAAAAAATTGGAGAAATGAAAGATTTACCATGCTGTTTTGCCTAGGTCATCAAGGCAAACAAGCATAGCGTAGGGCCCTGAGCTTCCAAGCTCTCTCGTATGTCAGTATTAGGGGTCATCCGTAAATATCGATATCTATTTATAAACGAAAACTAGACAAAGTGTCTGTAGTCTTCGCTGCAAACAGTGCTCAATACCTCAAAAGGGGCAGAGCTTACCACCCAGGGCAGAGCTTACCACACAAGGCAGAACAACAGAGACCAAAAACCTTTCCCTTAACTCCAAGTTTCGTGTTTCAAAAAACACTCATCAGACGATAAAACATAATAATGCTATTCGCTAGTTATATAGGGTAATTGTAATGTAGGCTAAGGCAGTGCTGCAACCACGAAGCTTGAGGAGATAACATCAGCGCTGGAATACACTGTGCGTAATATAAATGCAAGTGTCATGGCTGAGGTATATTGCTATAACCAAGATGGGAGATACATGTAGAGCCGACGTAGGAATTATGTAGGTTTCAGTGGGAGGTGTGTCACGCCAAAGGGCTGGGTAGTTTGTGTTACATAGCGGATACCAGTGTGGATAATGGCGCAATATGTGGTTTGGTGTGAGAGTGGACGAGTGAGGGTGTACATGTGGGTGCATGAGAGAGAGACATCGTGTGCATGCGTGCGTGCCTGCGTGCGCGTGTGAAAACACCGCTTATCTCATCAAGTGACCCCAGTGTAGTTTGCGAGCGAGAATTTGTTGGAATGTCTACACTTCGAGATGAGCTCGCTTCTATTGTTGAGGCATGTTTCTCTATCTGCGGTTATGATCGGAACCTCTCCGAGAGGCAAAGTTGGCACGTCTTGCTGATGTTGCTGTAGGCTCGTGCTCGTTCTGAAATACTCAACTGGATCGAGTAGTCTTCCTGTCTCTCCGTCAATTTCCAGACATACTTGGATAGTTCGGTGCTCTTCCGTCTCTGCTTGTGGTTAAATTTGTCAACCAGAGTGTTCTGGCAGCATGCATTATGAGGCGAATGCACAACTTAAAAACTTGATGTCGATAAGGACGCGTTCAGCCGATAAAACAAGTCAAGAATAGTATTAGTAAGGCGGACGTTACGAAACAAAAAAAAGAGAATAATATGATGAATCAAAATGCAAAATTTCCTAATCATTTTTCATGACACAGTCATCAGGGAAAGCTATTATCTCCTCGTCGCTTATTTAAAGTTGAATGTGCTCAATACACCATGTGTGCTCCTTGTATGCTACTGCTAGTTACTTGTGTGCAAATGTCTACTTCACACTATCTTGCAACACAACTTGATCTATGGGCTTGCTCAGGTCTCAAAGAGAACTTCTGTTTGCATGGGATACTATACGAAAAAAGAATACTTTTCTCTGTGGATAATGAACACATGACTGGTTGCGTATGTGTGTTATGCCTACCTTTAGGATTTGATACACATTCCTATAATCGAATATTTCTGCACAGAGGCATGGATAGTTTCTTAATTCACTTTCTCTACTGTTCAATCAGACTCGGCAGAGAGCGTTCCTTCCGCCAGCCAGTCACACTCTGATCAAGCCAGTCAGTCCACTGCTGCTCGCCAAGCTGATGCTTGTAAAATTGAATGTGCTCAATACACCATGTGTGCTCCCTGTATGCTAGTGTTAGTTTACTTGTGTGCAAATGTCTACTTCAAACTATCTTGCAACACAACTTAAGCCTCGAGATCCGAAAAAGAGGTTTTTTCTATTTTTGTTTTGTATTGTATTGATTGTTAGCGGGTGTTAGCGGCCGTCGTCAGCTCCCTTCGGGAACAGACACGATAATTTACTTTACTTACTTATTGTATTGATTTATTTGAATTGGGTATCTCAACAGTACAATAAGTACAACTTGGGAAGATCCACGCTTATGTCGTTTCACGCAGTACTGAGAAAAATGTATTTTAAAGTTGTGTGTTTTCCACATAAAGTGATGTACATGTATAACTCACTTTGTGAAACATCTATAACTCTGTGAAACATGACAATTTTAGACCTAGGTGTTTTTACAAAGTGATCTGCTGAGATACAGCAATGCCAGGGTATAGATCACTCAAAATGCTCAAAAATGACAGAAGCCGCCTTTTTGAATCTAGAGGCTCATTTGATCTATGAGCTTGCTCAGGTCTCAAAGAGAACTTCAGTTTGCAGGAGATTCTGTACGAAAAAAGAGTCATTGTCTCTGTGGATAGTGAATACATGACTGGTTGGGAATGTGTTTTATGCTTACCTTTTATGAAATGAGTTTATAATTTATACCCATTCCGATAATCAAATTTGTCTGCACCGAGACATGGATAGTTTTTGTATGCTGCTTTC